ACATATTAGATTGCTCCAGCAACCAAACACTACTTCAGGACAAGTAGAGATTAAGAAATGCTCAAAGATGCAAAGAAATCATCTCCATAGATTCACAATTGTTGATGTTTCAGGAAAAAAAATTATAGGCTTGTCTACCCATACGGTTAAAAAATAGACAAATGGAGGTGTGATGACACAAAGAAAGGTTATAGAGACAAGAGAAGACATTAGCAAGGGGGAGACCCCAAAACCAAAGACCTTGCTGAACAAAATAAAGAGTCATCACCCACTTCTAACAAAAAGGACATAGGGTGATCATAAAATTGCGAGATCCCCTTCTAAGAGATCTTGTAAATGGACATAATTCTAGCAAAATAATCCAATATTCCTGTGCCATTCGTACTTACGCTTTATCACCTTGTGCCACAAAAAACAAGATGTGGAGGAAACTGCCAAGGCCATTTAGCCAATAAAGACAGATTTTTAGATATATGATCCCTAATGCCTAAGCGACCAGCACCTTAGGAAGAAAACACAATGCACCAGATTGTCTCGCAAGGACTCACCCATCCTAGGTCAAAGATAAGCCTCATGATTCTTGTGATCCTAAAAACCACCCCTTTAACTGAAAGCGAGAGGTAATATAAGGGCATATTAGATAAGCAAACATCAAAAAGAGTTATCCTACCATCAAGTGAAACACTTGAACCTCTTAGATATCCTTTCAACCACTAGATCCCAAAAAACACTCCATCCAAGGTTTACTACCTCGAGGAAAACCCAGAGGAGGTAAAAGGCTAAGATAACACAGCAAAACAGATGCTACCCGCTCACCTAGCAATTACATCCGCCCAACATTAATCCTTGCAATACCACTTTTGGCAAGATCGATACGAAGCCTCAAAATACTCTAGAAGACCTTAAGAAGGAAAAGAACATTACTGACCGCTTTCTCATTATATTAGAGGAAGACAATGGTATCATCTGCAAACTATAAATGTGAAATCTCAGCACCATATATCCAACACCTAAAAACCTTTCAACAAACCTCTCTTACACCCCCATACAAGCATACAACTGAGGCCATTTAGCACAATATTGAAAAGAAAATGAGAGAGAAGACCCCTTGTCTCACACCCATTCGTCCTCGAAACCAAGATTCAGGCTCCCCATCAATAATCACTGCGTAAGACACAAAAGACAGACAACCAACAATCACAACATTCCCTCCCCAAAGGCACTCTAATTAATTGAAATGGAGTCATCCAACACTTTACTCATCCTCAAGAAAGCCACCTCCATAACAATTTTATACCCACTAATAACAAGACTTATGGATCCAAGCTAAATTCTAATAGATCCAGTCTCAATTAGAAACCAAAGTGACAAAGGTAAAATTCAAAACAATTCCAATTTTCCCATTAAGATAAAACTCTTCAAAAACCTTCGCACATCACTCCTAACATAATTCCAACATCTGTAGAAGAAACCACAGACAAGCAACCAGGACTAGGAGCCTTATCCCCACTACGAGCCCATATGGCTTTCTTCACCTCCTCCTCATTAACATATCTCTCCAACCAATTAGATCCCTCCCTAGAAAAAGAGCCAGGATCAAGACCCCCCAGAAAAGGGTGATCACTCTCCTCTTCTTTATACAATCTGTCTCTCAATTCTTTTTTTTTTTTTTTAAATATAAGATAAGAAATATTATTCACAAAGGTACCAAGGGGATACCGCCCATGTACAAAGTATATATTACAGTTTATTAGTGGTCCATGACCCA